TAAAAAAACGGCTCCGTGCTGCCCTTATATCGTCTAGAATGTCTATAAACGCACCCCTGTCGAGTCATGCCATACAAAGGTTAGGCGTTGAACCGTGCTTTTCGTTTGCTTTACCTACAGGGTTGTACCGTCTCTGACGTTTAAACAAATACAAACAAAAGCTTTGTTTTTATTGTTTGTTTGTAGTTAGTTAGTAGAGAGTGTCTAAAGAGTGACTATGTTTTGTTGTGAGTAATTTGGTTCAGTAAGAGAAATTTCGGAGGCTATATATTTTATTCATACTTTCCAAATTATGATGCCTTCGTTTGATTTTCGATTCGTAGGGCTATAGAGTGCAAATGCAAATTTATAAGCAAAACAAATATAATACATAAGTGCTTTAATATTTAGTCATTATTTATCATTGAAACGTACATGCTTATACATATGGAATATACATTGCTATACTCATATCACATATAAACAAATTATTTGCGGAGCAAATTTAGCGTCGTGGTGTTTTGGAGAACATGTCTATTTATTGACGCTCCAAAATTGGTGACACAAATATTTCTTTTCATTGATAACATTTAATGAGAAAATTGTATATCATTGATAACGTTTCAATAAAATACTCAAAGCCTCTATGGAACTTTACTCTGTTTGGATTATAACATTTTTTTTTTTTGAAAAATAAAAAATAAATAGGTATTTGTGTGAATTTTGCAAACGAAAAATTCCTATCATAGTTATAAAAAGGGTGCTTTATTTCAAAAATTAAATTAGAATTAAAAACGTTGAAACTTATTTTCGGTGTGTGCATTTAATTAAAAAAAGGTTTTTCAGAAATAATAATATACATAAAGCAAACACTATGAAAGATAAACAAATACATATAAACATAATCCTAATATTGATCGTATTGACGATCGTTTGTTTTTTTTTCGAAATTTTCCATCTGTCAAAAGTTCTTTCGACGGTCTGATATAATTCACTAAATGATAGTCAAAAATAATTTAGATTATTACTTTATTATTTAACTAAATCTGCCGAGAGTAATAAATAACATCTTTTATATAATTCGATTTGAATGTTTGTTCTTTTATCTAGTTTTGATTGATTTGAGGTTTTAATGGTAATACCAAACAGTTTGAAGCGACATAACAAAGTTCTGACTAGGGAGGGGTGATAACTAGTTGTAAAATTTCAGTAATATATATACCTATAGTATGTACATTTAGCTGAAAAAATGTGAATAACTTAAGGGGTTATATCCACTTGCGAATGTCAAACAGTCGATTGTTATTTTGCTTATACATGCATACAAATACTTCGAAAGTTTAAAGTTGATCCGGCAAATAGTTTCGGAGATGTAAGGATATTAGTATAAATTCTTTAACTTAGTAGTTTAATGCATTTTGTCAAACCAAAAAAAAAATTGACAAATCTTTCGATCATTACTTGTATTTATCTAAAACAATAATAAATTATTTTGGTTCTTTGATTTGCTATAATTTTAAGCGGAAAAATCTTGCTCACCACAAGACTCCTATCGGAGGGCCTTCTGGAGATTGGCTACGGGATCAAGGAAATCCAAAATTATCAAAATGAATCGTCGATTATTACAGTACATTAAATTTTGTAAATGTACCCTATTTTTATTTATTTATTAAATAAAATGCATCTTCAAAAAAAACTTCGCCAAAAACAAGTTTTTTCTGACTTGCAAGTGTATATAACCCCTTAATAAAACAAGTACAATAATTTGATCTGACTCTTAAACAACCGAGTTCATCAGTAAAGAGCTGTAAATTAGACTATACTGCTGATACGAGATGAAAGGATGTAAAATAGTTTTACTTGCTTTTTTTGGAATATGAAAATTTAAGCAAAAAGTTAACCAAAGGAATATTTTTATTTATTTCAAAAATGAACGTGTCATTGACATTCTTCCTGCACTATCAAACACAACACTTCCACAAGTTAAACTGTTGACTTACTGATTGTGTTACCCATAATCACTTCTTAGAGCTCTATTGCTTATAATCCATCTAAAGCACTATCAGTACAATATTTTATTTTGTTTATTGGCGATGGGCGTTGAATTGTTTGTATATATTATATATACACATACATATGAACATATATACACAAATATACGACTCGATAAGAAAGGTATATAAATATTTTAATTTAAGCTATATAAGTTAAATGAAGGGAAGTTATATTTTAAATTAAGACACACAGTTGAAATTTATGAATATCTTGTCCAATCAATATAAATCTAATGAGTTTTGGAAAAATTATTGTTCATGTTAATTAATTTCAACGTAAATATTATCGACGTTTATTTCAACTCTGTTCCCTTCTATTTATGCTGAGAATTGAGCACTGATCATTTGACACCCACGATTATGAGAAATGACAACTCCTCTTATCCTCGTTTTGCAGCAATTTATAATAGGCTAAACTTATGGCGCGTTGGTAAGTCTTTACCCAAGTCAGTGGCTATCTTGCGAGCAATTCTAAGCTCTTATAAAAGAAAAAGATAAATAAAAGGTGCCCTCAAAGGAATCTTGTGTGGTTTTAAATAGCTGCGAATTTTTGGAAACATGCTCCACATCCGTACCAAACTTATAGTATGTGTATATGTGTGTATACAAAGGATTTCGTCGACCTAACGACTTCAATTAAAATCGACAAATGCTTATTAAATTAACGGAATTGCGGATATGTGTGATAAAAACTGGTAATTTTGAATAATCCCCACCTTATTATATTCATGCCCGCCCATGATCGCTATTATTGAATGGTCGTCAGCAAGATATGTCACCAAAAGTTAAAAGTTTCACTGAGATTTCTGTACCAGGCGCTGTACCGTCTATCTGGCTAGCGGCGGCTATATGGTAAATACATGAGTATGTGTGTCTAATGCTACACGCAGGCTTTGCAGATGCTGCGACTGGAGTTTCGAATCAAAAATGCGCTAATTTAATTATCACACACAAGTAATTTGTTCGATATACATATTTATGTACATAAGTACGTACGAAAAGCAGACACACAAATTTACAAAATTGTCACAACAAATGTGAAGTAACACAGCCACACATATATATATTGAAGTTTTAAGCATGTGTATATATGTGTATACAGTTACTGACAATAAATTAGAATCATAGAAGTAGGTGGTTCTGAAATAATTAACAATCTTTAGTATTTGTCCGATAGATTTTGGATACGTATTGCCTGTAATCGATTCCTACAATATTTATCGTTTAAAATACTTTGATGGTAGCTCTGTAACATTTTACTGTTATCTGTTATCATGACAAAAAAGTAGCATCAAGAAATAAAAATATAAATTATAAGCATTATTTAGTAAACAATTATATTGTAAGTATATAATATTTAGGATATTTGTTAACACTTTACATTTTGTTACAATTAAGTATTATTTGTAAAATAAATGGGCCGAGGAAAGCACTGCACAGCGGAAGAGCTTAAGCTCAAAAAAAAAATTGCAAAAAACCGGATACATCCAAAGGGAATTGCAAAAATTATAAAAAAAAGGTTCCAAAAATTTGCGTTTACTGCTTTGAAACGTTCAAAAGATTGCGAATTGGGGGGACTACCACGATAAACTCAACTCTCAGGATAACAATTACATAGAGATTTTATCAAAATCCGATCTTTTCAATTCCTCTGTAGCTTTCAAAATGGAAATGGGTGTAAAAATTTTTTCGAGAACTGTTGCGAGTCGCCGTTGGAAGGTTGAAGGTTGTCCCGGGAAGTCCCAATGTTAACAAAGAGACAGCGGAACAATCGGACTGCGTTTGCTTCAGCGCATACCAATTTTTTTTGTTGCACGGAGTCGAATCGCTGTTTTGCATTCGGGAAATCATGAACCTTTATCCAAGCATACCTCGGTTATGGTCAAGACTTGGCTATAGGATTAAGGAATCGATGTTATGACTTGGCCTTCGGAATCCTATAGAAAACTTGTGAAAAAATGTAAAAGAAAAGAATGAAAAGAAATGCCGACAAATGAAAATTGAGATAAAGGATTTTTCAGCCAAAACACTTGCTAGACTAGGAATTTTTGTTAAAATCAGCAATGATATACATACATATATAATAATCTCCATGAGTATGTGACACACTTTTAACAGGAGGAACTTTAGCCTTTTTTTTAGTGGCAGAAATGCCTCGTAGTTGAGGATTGACCAGAGCTTAAAAATTGTTTTCACAATATTGAAGAAATATTTAGTATATTGTTTTTGGAATTAATAATAAAATATTCAGATTTCTTAATTAATACATATATTCAAAATAATATCCGTTTCCGTAAAATTTATCTATTGCAAATACTCGGTATTTCTGAAGGAAAATGTGTATCTATGAACAACTTGCAACAGCCAGTTGACATGCTCCATTCCGTTTAAATGGATACATTCGATTGAATTTATTTTAGATTCAATTAAAAAATGTTATTCTGTATTTGATATAACACATCCATTAATACGGGAACCGTTATCTCAAGCAATAGAAATGTTTAGAGCAAGTCTATCAGTGACCATCCACAAGGTTGCCTTGCTTTGTTTCTTATGGAAATCTCTGTATAATGCAACTCTGAAATTATTTTTCCGTTGGGGTGACGTATCCATTTTCTCTACAGTGTTCCATCCTTTAAGAAATATGAAAGTGTCAAGTTTTTATATTGTATTTACATAATATCGTATTACGCACAATGTTAAACTGAACATCTGAGTAGCTGAAAATTGCTAAAGATGAGTAATTGTGCTTTCGACTAGTGTTATTACTTCGCCTCTTAATTATATGCCACATAATATATATGTATATTTGTGTGTATAAATAATAACGTATATTTGTCACAGCGATAATGAAGATAATAAATTGGGCAAAGCCCTTGCTCAAAATATTGATTAACGCCTACCCTCGTTTAAAGTCGATTTTCATAACTTCTTTATCTGATCAACTGCAAAAACACATACACAAGCATACAAATTCAATTACCTAAATATGTACATACCTACTTATGTGTGCATAGGCATGAGAATGCGGTGAAATCGTTTTAATAAACAATAATAAATACTGTGACATTTTAAAATACGTAATCGTTAAAGGCAATTCGTCATAATAATTTATTTAAATGGTAATTATGTGCACATTCAAGTTGTCACGATCAATTTCTTTGCAAATCACGAGCACAAGTTCATATTCATAATTAATTATGTGATTTACCTTTTCTTCTAAAGAATTAAAAAAAGGGTAACTTAAAATTTAAATGGAAGTTTTGAAGACGTGTGAAACGTATATTGCAAATTAATTTAAATTTTTATTTAGAAAAAAACTTGACGAAACGAAAATAATCTTGGCAACTATGTTATTTTTCATTGTAGATGGCGCGCTTAACAATGTGCTAAATATCGCTGTCAGAATTTTGACATTTTGTTTCGTGCTTTTCCTTTTGCTTAAAACTTTACCATATTGAAAAAGTAATTCAAGTTAAATTAATATATAAAATATAGACATATATTCTTACGGATATTAATAATCATGTCGTATCAACTATACAGAAACACAACACTTGGAAATACTTTACAAGAGAGTCTTGATGAACTAATTCAAGTAAGTTTTTTTTAAATGACATTGAATATAATAGCTTGGTTTTGCAAAAACTGTAATTATTATAAACCGCTTGTTTCTTGTTTCAGTATGGTCACATTACGCCAACACTGGCATTCAAGGTACTCTTGCAGTTTGATAAGTCCATCAATCTAGCCCTAAATCAAAGGGTCAAGGCTAGAGTTACCTTCAAGGCGAACAAACTGAATACGTATAGATTCTGCGATAATGTGTGGACGCTTATGTTAAATGAAGTAGAGTTCCGCGAAGTGCACGAATTCGCCAAAGTAGATAAAGTGAAAATTGTAGCGTGCGATGGAAAGAGTGGCGAATTCAATGGATGATGTATTACTATCGACACGACAATATGGAAAACGGTATCGGTTCTCGGCTAAACTATTATAATACAGGATGCTGATTAGGATTTAGTGAATAGAGAGGAACATTTGATTCATGGACAAAGTTGTTCGGAAAAACAAATATTTAAGTAAATTAGTAAAGTAATTTATAAAAAATATATATTAAAATACAGAGATGAATTTTTTATGACAATTGTCTTAAAAAATATTTTGTATACTATTTAATACTAATCAATTAAACCGATAAGGTTGAAGATTAAATATCTGATTTTTCTTAATGCAAGTGTTAGTCGACCTCTAAAATTCAAATACCATGTATGTATGAGTAAGCAAACACTATCTTCAAAATACAAAGGGTATGGTAGGACAGTTTCATGATGACACTTGCTTGTACTTGTGATTAGATGATTTTTTATTTATTTTTTACATATATTTAAATTTATCCAGAGAGTCCACTAAGAGTCCAAAACAAAAAATGCTTAGAAAGCTTTAATTAGACAAAGTTGAGTTTTTATGGTTATCACCACCACGAAGACGATCATCGGTTTTTATTATTAACCTTTTTTGGTTAGTGATCTTTGATATTTATTTAAGGGATTTAATGCGAGCGAAGACTTGGGTAAAGCACTTAAATAAAAATTGCCAATTCTTCTAAAAGCGGAACTATTTAAAATTCAAGCGTACATTCATATGCACACACTTACTCCCCGATTCACTTATACATATTTTATTTTTGAGATACGAGACTGTATCTCTTCATTTCAACAGCGCAGACGATCCGTTTAAGCTTGGTTTTAAAGACGGATCTATTTTGAACAAATGTTGTGAAAATGAAAAATATACCTTTCATAATTTTGTTTATATGCGGTGGTTTAATGAATAACTCAAAAAATTTGTGTCACTTGAATAAGTACAGTAATCACAATACAATAATTTATTTAGATTAACCATACAAGTGTAAATGCTTTATTAAAATTTTACGAATAAATGCTTTTAGTAATTAGTACTGCCTCCTTTATTTAGGATAATTGAAAAAATTCTGTTAGCAAGGCTATCATAAAGGCTTAAGTAGCCCAAAGATCTCACTCCATGCAATGATTATCGAATTGACGACCTGACTCCTTGCGGGACATCTACCCCGAAACGTTTTCCATTATATTAAGGTCAGGAGAATAGGTTGTCCACTTCAACAAACTCACATTTTGAGCTGTAATCCAATATTTTACTACCCTTGGGGTGGATCGGAGCATTGTCCTGTTGGTATGTCCAGCGAATGGGTCCAAAAATATTGGAAAATTGCAAAAATTCTGACTTGAGTATTTGTTTGTACAAAAATACATGTAATTTTTGATGTTTTAAACTGTAGCTCAATTGTTCCATAATAATATACCGCACCCCAAACCATCCCACCCTCTTGGCGGTTATGGTGACAGGGTAGAAAACGTTCCTCTTTCCTAAGGTTATGGAAATAATAATTAAATCTGTTGGGAATTGTTAGCTTTTTCTTCATCGGAAATTAACATCACACAATTTTTCATCAGAAAACATGGCCGATTTCTATTTCAACCCATGTGATCGCTGCAAAATTGTAGCCGTGAGTCCTTCCGTTGAGCATTTAGAGGTCATTTTTTATTTTAGTTTTTTGAGCACCAGATGGTCACAACTTTTTATTGCTCTTCTCACAGTGGAAACACTGGCACTGGAACCAATTTTCCCCTAGATTATTGTTACAGAGTCACTCGAATTGGAAGCTGTTTTCAAAATATACCGCCTTTCTACTTCTGTGATCACCCCTTTTTGCCTTCCTTTCATATTTTTTCCATGTGACGCCGGATTTCGTAGTGCATGTGCTCGTCCCATATTCACTAAAAAAGACCTGAAATCGTTCTAAAAATCTCTTAGATACTACAAAGAATATTTTTATTTATTTCGCCTAAACGAACCTGCCTTCACAATGCCGCAATATAATATTTACCTATTCCAGTGACGTAAGTTTAAAAGAACATATTTGAGTTATTTATTAAAACACCGCATATAAACAAAATTATGGAAGGTATATTTTTCATTTTCCCAACATTTGTTCAAAATATTATATATGAATACGAAAAGAAATATTTCAGAGCCGACAGTAATTAAGTTTTAACCACTATTGCTATTTTTTTAATTGTATATGTCTGCATTAGCAGGATGACAAACATGTATCTAGTATATTAAAAGAAAACTAATCACTGATTTTATTATTTATTAGTTAATTGTTTTTGCGTGTAATAATTGATAACCTTTCGATTTAAAATTTTATAGCTTAGACGTGCCTTAATTCGTGATTTTTTGTTATCACTATAAAGTTAAATGTATGTTTGAATATTTGCAAAACGGACTAAGTTTCTTATGAAAATAATATGGTTAAATTTGTGTAGCTTAGACGTGCCTTAATTCGTGATATTTTATTATCACTCTGAATTTAAATGAATTTTTGAATATTTACAAAGCGGACTAAGTTTTTTATTGATATAATACGGTTAAATTTTTGAGCAAATATGCTTAAATATAACTTATGAAATTACGATTATAAAAAATTAAAATTTGTTATATAGGTTATTAGACATATACTTACATATTACCATTTAAAAATAATTATTTATACTTACATCACCATTATTTCTATAACTAAAGGATTTATTCTAAACAGTTATGAAATATCTTTTTCACAGTGGGTACATCTTTGTATGTATTTTTTAATTTTTAATGTTATTTTGGATACCTTACTTTGTTCATTTGAGTTCCTTAAAATATTTTTGTAATAGTCGGATGTGTGAGATTGCTGTCTTGTTAGAAACGCTTATTATTGTAAACATGTCAAATTATTGTCTTCAATATCAAAACTAGCAACCTAGTACTTTTTCATAATTTCGCGAATCATTGTTTTTTTCAACGACTAATGTTATGTTCAAATCAACCACTTGAGGGTAAAGACTTTGTTATATTCATGTTAAACATTCTAAAGTACTAGAAGATCTGGCCGCGCTATGCTGTGGCTATGGTATAAAGAGTACAGGAGAGAGGGGAAGATCGGGGTCCGGAATTCTCAGGAGAGCCCAGTGCTTTACAACAATTTTTTGCAATTTTTCTCCAACAATTCACTACAATTGTCCTCATTATGAATTACTATATTTCATAAGAATACTTGCTTGTAATGTATTAATTTAAAATTGTGCTTCTCAGCGGTCATCATAAATTGAAAAATTAAATTTTTTAAGATTAACATCAATGTTTATTCAGGATGATTTACCCGAGTTATCATACACATATGTACTGGAGCACATGTAACATCAACAAAAAATATACAAACAATTGATCAGGAAACCTTCAACCTATATCCCACCGAGTCCCGGGTTTTCTCGCTACGGCCCTGGGTATACATTATTTAATAAACCAGTCAATACAGTGAAAATATTATTTACGACTAAAAGTGAAAACATAATTGTCAGTATAAGAGTCCAAGGAATTGGTTTAATTTTGAAAATAAATCATAAAAATATTTGTCAATGGAAAAAATAATGAATATACCATTTGGTATTTTACTGAAAGTTTTATTTTTATTATTTTTTTTTTTTTAATTTCTGAAAACATGCATGGAAATGCATGTTTGAATATATATTTTATATTAATGATTTTGTTTTACTTTTAATATTATTGAGATATTAACTATCCTACCTTTTAAGTTGAATCTAACTGGGCAGTGTTCTAAATTTTACCAAAATCAAAAAAAAAATAATAACTTATTCACTAGAAATATTCACCAAAACATACAGAGGTACTTATACATAAATATACGCCACTGTCCTGTATACTATAGTTATGTCATCGCTCATATCATTTTATGAGTTACAATATTATCAGTAATATGCATGCTCCAGTTTCACTTTAGAAAGCCGTGCTCTAACATTTGCAAACCGACTGAAACCGGTTCGCCATTCCGGTAAGACCTTACGACTTCAATATAAAATAATCACAGAAAAAACAATCAATAGACTTCCAGTTCAAACCAGACAATATTTAATAATGAACATTGTACACAAGTATGAATTTATACAAAATACATACAATATACTGTTGATTAAATATTGATTGTAATATGTGATTTTGCTTTCTTTTAACAGATAACATTGTATAGTCAAAACAAAACAAATACTAAGCATTACTTAGCGACAACAATTTGCTATTATGCCTTTCATCCAATTTACTACCACACATTTTCCCGCTCCATTTATAAACAAATATTGATGAAATACACAACCTGACAAACTGATATCAGATTATTACACCCAATTTGTTACCATGTGAGTATGGCTGCGATGTGTTCGTTCACGTTCACAGTGGTTCTCTGGTTCGAATCCCTTTGAAAATATAACGAAGCATTATAATCAGTTAATTATAAATTCTTTAATATTTCAATGAAGTAGAAAATATTGGAGAGAAAATCTAATCATGTATACCCGACTTAGCACCAGATTGCTATTTTAAGACAATTTAGAAGTTTAACTGAATAACACACTTGTGGTTTTTGTATTTATTTAACCATTGCCATAACTTTATTTATGTTTATATAAATGTGATTTTAACAACCACAAGGGGAATTCTAAATAACTATTTGTACAATCAACATTTATTTACATTTTCATAACCTCAATTTACCACTATTTGTTAACAAAATATAATTTGTAATATTTTATCTTTACTACAAAGAATAATTCGGCATGCTTGTTGGTATTTATATAATGTTTCTAAATGTTCGAAATTCAGGTATAATTCATGGTTAATTTAAAATATATTACTACTGATTATCTTAAAGTAACTTATAAATTCTGAAAATACATTGATGTAGAAACACCCAATAATGTGTAATCTGCTTCCCTGTAAAATTTTATCACATTAATTGGGCAAAATCCATAATGTAATACTGGGACCGCTGATAGACTTCATTACGCAGCACATTTCCACCAAAACCAATAACATTGTTTGCAGGAGGCGATGCCTCTAAATCCGTCGCACCATCACCAATCATTGTAATATTAGTGTTGGGATGGTAGCATTTAATAATCGAAACTGCTTCAGCTTTGCCGCCACTTTTTGAAGTCGGTTGTGAAGTATCAAAACTTGCATAGTCACCATTAAAATAAAAAAGTAGTTTATTTGCAAATATATGATTTCGGGGTATTCCCAGTTCATCGGCAATGGGATCGATCAAACAATGAAATCCGCCCGAAATTAGATAAATTTCCTTCCTTTCCGATTTTAGTTTTTCTATAAAAGCTCTAATATTTTTAGTTAATGTACAAGGACGTTGTTGGAGAAACTCATTGATCTGCTTTTGGCTTGGTCGAATAATATTTAATCTTATATTTAAGGCATCTTGGAAAGACATTGCGCCACCCATGGCTTCTTTTGTGACGCGTGCTACCTCCGAACCCTTACCGCAAAAATCTGCCAGCTCATCGATCCCTTCTTCACAGATTAAAGTTGAATCAACATCGAAACAGATTACATCAGATTTTTTTACAATTTTAGAGGCTTCTTCGGGATTTTTACTTGACTTTAAAGCGTCGCTGTTAGGAGCTGACACCATAGTTCTATTTATTAATGATGCTTTTCCGGAGGAATTTAATTGACCATTATCTGTATACGTAAAGTCTGAATTTGATGTTGAAGCAGTAGATTGAATAGCTGCTGTAAATGTATCATTTAAGAGATTCCCGCTTCTTGCCACGCGAACCGAACCCATAGTCATTCGATTCATTGTTTACTCAAATTATGCCAGTTACGTCAATCAGAACAGAAAAAAGTAGCTTCAGTTGCTGGTGCTGCTATTGTTTTGTTTACTTGTAGCCTTTCGACGATGACTTTTTTTCTTTAATGGATTAAGTGATAATATGATGATGATGCGTATTCAATAGCGATTGGCTTTTTTACTTCAAAAATTTTAATCACGCCACAATTTATTAATCCTATTTTTGTAACTCAGAGCAACTTTGTTAAAGGGTTTATTTTTATGATGCTGGTTTACTGCATACAAATATAATGTAATTAATTAACCAAACAAATACAAATTTAGAAAGATATGTTGATTGCAGGAAAACACGCTAACAAGTAAATTTATATTTGCTCTTTGCGCAGTTCTTAAATGAAAGCAATGCGCAAATTTTCCCATATATACAAGTAAATATTCCATTTTGTGTCCCAATGGAAATTTCCAATGATTGTTGTCACTAATCCAAACAGATGATAAGCAGTGTTGCAGTTCAACCGATTTGTACCTTAATTTTATAAAATTATTATAGGACTTATATGAGATCAACAATATTTAAATCAATATGAAAGCCATTATAACGACAACTTTAAAAGATATTTTAAATTTTGACCTTTTGTTATGGTCAACTTACAGTATAAACTGTAATTCATCATACAAATTGTATTTACATTAAATTTAGTATTTTTTGTTTATGTTCAAGGTAATAGCTTAAGATAGAAATTACATATTCAGTAGTTTAAATAATTCAAATTTAAACCAAATTTTGCAATTTTGCGATCCATAGTGGTCATCATGGAACTTACCAATAGTGGGCTTACACAAATATTATGGGCTCACTGATGATCAGCTGATTTGTGTTTTTATTCATAGCATTATTGAATCACCCTGTGTGACGAACACATTTTATTTTCTTCCTCCTCTATTATTAAATAACTGTCGGTCTTGAAATTGTTATAAAATAACTCTTTTTTTTTTATAAAATAAAATGCTTTCTTTTATTTATTCTATGAGAACTGTGTTCGTTCGACAGCAAAGTGTTGACGCATTTAGGAGACTTCATACATCAGCTTTGTGTGAAGCTGCCCGTAAGGGTACTCGAGAGAAGGCTCGAAAGAAGAAAGTTAAAGTTGAAGTAAAGAAAGTGGGATTCATACCACATAATCAAAGGGATAAGAAGTAATATCACAATAAAGAGGAAATATTAGATAAATATTATAATTATTAATTTCTTTCAGAATTAACTTGCAACGTGAAAATTTACACATTGACGATTCTTGGAAGCAATTACCTCAAGACAATGTTTATGTTCTCAAATACTATCGTTGGCCGGTATACACGGTTGCTGAGGCTATACAGTGTCACCGTGAAACGCATCACCCTTCTATGTACAATGTTCCCAATGCTCCACTCAACGTAGATATTGAATTGGATATGCGAGCAGAAAAGAAAAACCGATTCGTTGACAACTTTCAGCGCATGGCTATGATACCACATAAATTCGAGCACGGTGAGGAGCGAAAAATTCTCGTTTTCACGAAAGGAAATGTATGTTAAAATCAAAAATTATATAATTAAAATTACATATTATTTTTTTAATTAAAGGATGAGATCAGTGAAGCGCGAGAAGCAGGTGCTACACTTGTAGGTGGTATTGAGTTGATAAAGGACATAACCAATGGAGAGCTATTGCTAACCGATTATCAATTTGTAATAGCACATCCCAATATTTTGCCAGAGCTGGTGGCTCTGCGAGGACTGATGAAGCGTAAGTTTCCAAATCCACGAAGCGAGACTCTAGGTACAAATTTAGGGGAAATGATTGAACGCTTTTCAAATGGCATTAGCTATACAGCCACCAAGGATGAGCATCAACAAGATTTTGGATTGATTTCAACAAACGTGGGAACATTAGATATGGATAGTCAAAAATTAGAAGAAAATTTATGTTCCTTACTGCAGGATGTTAATTCAGTACGCCCTAACCGTGAAGGTGAACGATTTGTAAAACGTGTACTACTTAAGAGTCCACCGAGTAGTGAACGACTTAAAATAGATGCTTATCAATATATACCAGAGTTTTACGTAAAAACAGCTAATAAAGCTTCTGCGAAACCCAACGAAGTCGGGGAGCGGGCGGAAGAATCTAGTGAAAAACAACAAGCTTTTGCTGCTCAATAATGTTGTATTTAAAGTTTGTTAATTGACAAGTAATATGTATTATTGAGTGTTATAAATAAAGGTTGACTGAAAAAAACTAACGTGTTGAGTCCTTAGCCAATTATACATATATTCATGTCTGTTCCGATTGTGTAGACTCAAAGGTAATGTCAGAAGGACGGAAAGTGGTTATTGTTGTTGTTGTTTCAAGTAACCGTTTATGAAAGAATACGATTTTATAATAATGTTCTCCTGCTTTTTATAACTCTTTTATTAGCTTCACCTGTTTGTTCTTTGTTTTGTGCAGGCGATAAATCTAGTATAAATTGAGACATCTTATTGAAACTTGCTACATATGTTTATTAAATAACTATCGTCATGGAGAAAAATGTAAACGAATATGAACTTGAACATAAGCTTATTAGTTATGTAATGTCTACACAGAATAATTATAACTTTTCCCTTAAAAATAGAAAGGCAGTTCGAAAAGTTTTTCTTACGCCTTTTGTGCCACGCTATCCCGTTCGTGCTGACGTTGCATTTCCAATTGTTTCACACGTGTATAAGCGGCACTAGCAAATAAAACAATAACATTTGATGCCCACCACAATGCTGACTTTGCATCATTATACCATTGTGTCGCTATAACAGTCTGAGCGCAGGCCTTTGCCGTTCCAGAAATGTTGTGAGTCAACGGTGATGTTACCTACATTAGTTGCATAAATATGATATTAATAAACTAAAATTACCAAAAATTTGTATACTGCATTGCATTTTTATTACCTTAATTTGCAAAACTGTAACAAATCCAATTGCGAAACCGCATAAGCCTCCAAGAACCATAGCACCAATAAACCAAGGAGCAAATATGTGTTCATAGTTGAGAATTGCGCTCATTTCTCCATTAATGAGGATTAAAGGCAAGAAAAACACACTGGAGTAGACATTATTGTAGTAGCTTAGTAGAAGAACTTGCTGATTAACGTGGACTAATGCCTTTTTGGTCTGAATGGAATACCAGGCTAGTATAAACGAACCCATAACGCCATAGATTGTGCCGCGTAGAGAGAACTGTGCCGTTAAGCTTTCCTGGTCGACTCCCAATAAGAAACCGAAAACAACAAAAACACAGCACATTGTTGCCTTGAAGCTGGTTTTTTGTCGCAACAGTATATATGTTAGTACGACATTAAATACAGTTGTCAATGATCGGCCAACATAATAAAAAGCTACTCCCACATATTTAAGGCACAAATTATTTGTTGCGACCATTAAAGTAAACAAAATGGATAACGGCAAAATCTAATAGACAAATTTTAAAGTAATATACGAATTAACAATCAATTTTGATATTACCTTACGAAATACATCCACATCAAATGGATTACCTTCTGGGAATGTAATGACATTTGGATAACGCCGGCCAAGAGCACTCAAAAGTGCACATAAACCAGCGGAAACAAGGCATTGGAACCAACAAACAAAGAGAGGCGCGTCTAAATTTACAGTATCACTGCTTAATAGTAATTTATTCATAAACACTGTACATATTGATACTGTCCTGCAATCACATTAATAAGCGAAAATTCAAGCCATTTAAGATTTACATTTTGTTTTCTTACCAATATAAAGCTACTACAAAAAACACCAAAAGGTATTTATTCACTAATCGGTTGTGCTCCGACATACTTGTATACATTGTGGCGATTTGTGCGGTTTACTTAACTTATACGAATTATATTTACGATTAAAAACGAATTGTTTTAAATGAGCCCAACTATAATTGATAAAGACAAAAACAGCTGTACAAATTTGTTAGTATCTTTTAATATACTTGTCTATTATTTCAGGTGACAACTATATTTCAACCAGAGATAAAATTTCAACTACTCTATTATTGACAGGGAAACTTTACCAGGTAATGCACTTAGTGCATTGCACTTATTAATATTTTCAGTTTTATACATATTTTGTAAATATCAGATTAAATAAATGTAAACATGTATTAATCGATTTTGATTACGAACATTCGACTTTTTATCAAAGATTCGATAAGCATATTAGGCATAGATAAAATGATCAGAAACTCCTCTCTTTGCCTTCTGAGAGAGCTCATGAACTTTCAGTGCTACCACTAAGAATCCCGCAGAAATAAATTGCGAAATCAGTGGGTAATCTGTGAGATCAGATTTTTTGTTGACTTTTACGTATATTTGGAATCTTTATTTAAAGAGATTTAATAAAGTTTTGTTTTTAAAAAAGAGCGGTATTTTGTCGCACAGTATTGTTTTGCTTAGCAGTACGAATTGCCAACGTCTATACTTATTTTGGTTAGAATTCCCAGCAAATATTATGTAAACTTTGACTTCCGAATAAATTATCAAAAGATATTTGTTTATTGAGTACATAAAAAAGAAATAGGGATCATGTTTAGGTTATTTAAAACTTGTTTGTTTTTAAATATTAAAATATTTTGTTAAATTAAGTTTTAAACGTTCATTTTGAAAATCTTTTGTGATTAAAAAATACATGTACTTATATTTAGAAGTCATATAGGATATCTAGCTTGTTAAACTTATTTTAATTATGTATATTTTTCTGTAAATTTGAAACCGAAAAATATCCAAGAAATACATTTAAAAATCTCAAAACTTATTTCTTTCCTTAATGGCACCACTGTCAAATGTTATAAAATATATATATATATCTCAAATCAAAGAGTTTCGGATGTTTTCATCCATCTAAAAGCAGAGAACGTATATCTCTGGAATGGATAATTACCCATTGATTTCGCAATTTATTTCTGCGGGATTCTTAGTGTTTTGGTTGTCATCTGTTCAGTAGCTCATGAACTCGTGGTTTTTCTTGGCAGCACTGAAAGTTCATGAGCTCTCACGAAAGAGAGGAGTTTCGGATCATTTTATCTATGTCTATTGTTGATCTTTAAAGGAAAGCAATAATTGTGGGTGTAGAAATGCCTGATATAGAATCCGATGACCAAGATTGGTTCAATAAAGATGAAGAAGAGATTTTGCAGAGCTTGCAATGCAAGGTTAATAATGAGCATACACAAACTAATATAGAATATATACATGGCCCATCAGAAACAGGTATGGAAATGCAGTATATAACATATATATTAATTATGGCTTTTTAAATAAAATTACAGACGAATACCTTCAGCAAAAACTATTGGAAGCTGCATCACACCTTTGCAAAGGAGCTGTTAAAAAAAAGATGTCCACATCAGATATGCGTAAAGCAATTAATCTGGAACCATTGGACGCCTTCCTATTTATTAAAACAAACGAAAATAATTTTTTTGTTGATCAAATTTCGAATAGTGATGGACTGGAGCGAGTTATTTTATACTTGCGTATTTGGTCTAAATTATGTGAACTAGAGCTTCCTGGATTTCAAAAAGAGCTTCTACAGCATTTTGTGAATAAGGACATATTTTTAGAACAGTTACGTGTTTTAAGTGATAAACTTTTTCGAAAAAAATTTAAGGCGGTATGGAATAATTCTGAAGAAGTAGACGAGATCCTAAATGCAATGCGATTCCTAATAGTTCGTTTGCATAAATGCCAACTAATATCAACAAAAATATCGCATGTAATAGAGCATATAAAGAAACTCATTGAAGATAGCGATAATCCAGACATGGTTCAACGACAACTGTGCCAGCAGCTAAAAATTGAACTGGATAGAGTGTTAAAAGAAAAATGTAATCAGCTATACGAAAAGACTAACGTAATTTAATTACTATCCAACAATAGTTCATATAATATAATCGATATATAAACTCTTTCAGATGTATCCCACACTTAATGAACTCTTTGAAGAAATCAACGGGGAAGACTACAATCAAATCATTAACACTTTAAAAGTTACTGAAAAATTGGAAGTGTCAGAGTATATTGCAAAGCAGAAACGCATTATTCGTGAAGATTTTTTGATTCCTCTACGAGATTATGTATGCAAATTAAAAAAATACGGAGCAGTACCATATGGGCCAGAGATATTTAAGGACGTTTGCATTGTTCTTAATGCAGATTTCATCATTGCTAAACGCCATGAAATGCTTTTCGTTGATGTGTTCGGCAAACAGCGCTCAAGGGAGGACAATAAAGTGAAATTGTTGGGTAAAACTACGATAAAACTATCTAGTCTTAAATCTGGCTCCTTACTTTTGTTGACAACAAATAGCAGCTTTGAAAATCTCATCTTGGCAACGGTTACTTACACCGAGGAAAAACTACTACGTTTGGGATACGTAAGTAAATTTGAAATTCTGTCATAGGGTTCTAATAAATTTCCCGTTAATACAGATAGGTGTGGAAATTGTGCAGCAATATAATATTGGAACTGTTTATGACCGACCTTTGCTGATGTTCGAAACACCAGCCTTCTACGAACCTTATAACAACGTATATACTTATTTGAATACCTATGGCGAGGATAAGTTGCCTATGAAGCAATATATTATTGATGGTGAGGTAATGTTGATTTATTGTTTTAACTAGACCATGGCTGTAAATATTATATATAAAATTTATTTTATGTTTAATTTTATTTACCTTTGCAGAGCAATGTATCTCCACCTCGATACCTAAAAACAATCAAATCGTATTCTTATGATGGAGACAACGAAGTCAATCAAGCCAAAAAGTCTTCCACTAAATAATTCACAGTGGAATGCATATTGTGAAGCGTTAACACACGAATTTTGTCTAATACAGGGTCCACCAGGAACTGGTAAAACCCATCTTGCGGTACATTTGGTGCGTACTCTTATTGCGAACGTTAAAACACCCATCGTGCTAATTACTTACACGAACGATTCGTTGGACAAGTTCTTATTGAAGCTTTCCTCCTATACCAGTAACATTTTACGATTCGGTAGCCAAACGCGCCTGCCCGAAATTTCAAAATTTAATATACAGTTAGAATCCACCCAAAAAGAAGAGGTAAATCCCCGTCTCAAGCGTCTCTACTACACTGTAAATGAAGAATTCAAGTCCAAGTTTCAAATCTTGCAAAAAATGCATACGAATTTCGATGGCAGTGAAGAATCCTACCAGGATTTGTTAGCAGCACAGCTAGCTGTAAGCGATGTATCTGAAAAATTAAAAACAATACGCATAATGTTTCAATTTTATGCATCACGAAAAGCTGATATCATAGCAATGACTTCAACTTTCGCTGCTAGAAATAATTTCCTATTTCGTCTGCTACAAAGTAAAATCGGTAACGATGCTTCCTATATACACTATTTAGTGAAATGATGCATGCTAAGTTTTTTTTATTTGCTTGAATATTTGTAGTGATTTTCGAGGAAGCTTCGGAAATTTTGGAATCACACGTCCTGGCTTGCTTAACGCCATATACCGAACATGTCATCATGATTGGTGATCACCTGCAGTTAAAGCCTTACACTTCAAACCATCGCCATAGCTGTACATCTCAACTAAATATATCGTTATTCGAAAGGCTCTTCGTTAGCACATTGAAAGGGTATACGCTCAACGTGCAATATCGTATGCGCCCTTGTATTGCGGATCTAATTCATTCCACCTTCTACACTGAGCTAAATAACAATGATACAGTAAATAGTTATCCAAAAGTTCGAAACATGCAGAAAGATCTATATTTTTATACACACAATGATACTGAATTTTACTCGGAGGTAAGACACTTACATAACATAATCGGCCCTATTCTCGTTGTCAGTGTCCTTTTACTTGTTGTTTCCAAGTTGTCTTCGCTTCATTTTTATATTCATATTCTTGAAGTATATCGTAACGCCAAAGAAAAGTTATCGAAAATTTAAATTAAAATTAAGAAAAGTAGTAAAGACTCCATACCTTAAATATATACATACATAACTGATAAACTCCTTCATACATATAAAAATACAATTTTAGGAATATTATTTAATGTATGCCAACCGTTTCCGTCGCGACATGAAGGCGCATTGAGTTTTTTCGAAATTACGTTTCAAAACATATCGAAATTTAATAAACTTTAACCCCTTTCTCAAATCTTTGGCATACGAAAGATTTTTTTCCAGTTATTATTCATATTCATATTTCCATAATCATTTTTAATAATCGCGCTTCCAAATACTACGACAAAGATAGACTGTTTCTATGTCGTTATCATAGTCCTTTCAAAATGAGGAATACCAATTTAGTTTCTATAAATGTCGTTTTAAAACGTTTGTTTTACTTTCAGGATGATTGTTCCCTCTATAATCTGTATGAGGTGAAGAGAATCTTAGAATTGGCGAAATTTTTAATAGAAAAGGCTTCTTATACAGCCAATGATATTGTCATTCTAAGCCCTTATGCAAAGCAAGTGGAACGCTTGAAATCCAAGGTGAGCTTAATTTTAATTCAGAAAATAGCAATAAAGTACATATGTATGTAATCGCATTGGTATTACAGGCACTTAATTCCTTTGGAAGTATCAAGTTGAATATTTCTACTGTGGATAGCTTCCAGGGATTAGAGGCTAACATAGTACTTCTGTCGTTGGTGCGAAGCAATTCCAAAGGACAAATTGGATTTCTCAAAGAGAAGAATCGTATTTGTGTGGCTCTTTCACGTGCCAAATACGGTCTGTATATCATTGGAAATCTGCCATTCCTAGCAAGCTGCAGTGAGTTGTGGCAGTCCATCGAACAGAAATTAAAGACACAGGACGCAATTGGCAATGCCTTTCCGATAATGAATACAGAACAACCATAAAAATAGCGATTGTTTAAGTTAAAAACGTTTAATTTTGCACTGTTCATCATTTCGTGCTTGCACGCATTAATGTTATAAAATAAAAAACAAATATTTGACATTTCGACTTGTGACTTTATTTATTTATTTTATTTTTGTTTTATTTATGTAAGTTCTTTTTTTATTTATATTAATTTTCTTGTTATCATTTATTTATGCTTCTTCTATAACCACTTTTAAGCTACACTACAATGATAAAATTTTACTGAAATTATGTTGGCTTTCCCTTTTAGTTCCGTTGTTTTGCTTTTATGTATGTATGTATGCATTAAGTAATTGATACGATGAGATAATGTTCTCGCAGTTTTAACTTTATGAATATATTTATGTGTATGCAATAAGTTTAATTAAATTTTAAAGAAAAGCTGCACTCCATATGCATGTATATATTTCGTAGCTGACTGTGTGTAAAATATATGGATGTCGTCAACAGTTTGTGCAATAAGGAGTCGCATTAACATATAATTAAGAGTGCAATTAATTTAATTCATAATTCATATTATGATGAACATATATATTCGATATTCCATATTTTAATGAACATATATTTACCATATTTAAAGTTTTTTATATGAGAAATTGTTATTTTTTTTAACGATTTATGACAAAGAATTTAAGCTGATTGCAGATTATTTGGCAAAAGCTTAGTCCCTATTGCACCAACTGTTCTTTACTGCGCCTGCGCTCTGGCTGTTCCCTTTTATATAATTTACACACATTCAATCTCACACATTTTGCTCTTATCAATTTTTGGGTTGCCTTTTTGGATATTTAAAAATGAATACCATATTTAAAAACTAAACTGTCCTTACAAGCTTTTGAAAATTATTTTTCGAAATTATCACTGTATCCATACATAGAAAACGTGTGTAATCGATTGGAATCACCGATTTTTATTATTTTGAAGGCTTAATTACAACATTGCGTTTATATTTAAATGAATTTTTAAAAATCGAATCACCTCTAGCGGATTGTTGTTCCAGTAGACGTTTTGGTGAGTATTTTACACTATTAAAATAACAATAATTAGTTCAATTTATTTTGATGTAATTTCATTGTTTGCTTTATGAATTTTGTACTGATTTCTTGATGTTTATTTATATATGCGCCAATTATTACATTATTTTTTAAATATTTGAAAATACCTTGTCGATCGAAGGTAATAACGCAAAATTTTCGCTCGGCGGTAAGCTGCTATAGTCGTAAGAAATTCAATTGAAAAGGTATTTTACTTTACCTTTAGTTAAAACAACCTAAGGAAATTTTAATTGTCTATAGTGTTAAATTTTTATCCGAAATACGGCATAATACAATAAATTAATTGTGTTATGTGTTCCGCAAAAAATATTCAATTTTCGAATACATTCAAATCGGAGCTCCAATGAAATACTGAGTTCCTACTTGTAGTAGATGCAAAAGCTATAAATAGGGCTAACCAGTGGTATCATACTGATGTAAATAATGGGAGTTAAACAATGCTTTTGATTGACGTTGTCTAGATGTAGCTTATTTGATAAATGCGCATTTATTAATTTCTTTACATTTAATTGTCCAACTAAATCGTTAAATTTTTATTATTTTTTTCTAGCATTTATTTATTTATTTTTAATTTTTGTGTTTTTCATTTTCAATCAACCACTCATAATCATGTTCATCATACCAGTTACATTACATGTTTGTCTATATAAAAATACATTATGTATGTATACTTTTCGGCGAATATGTTTTGTTATATTACTTCTTTGTTGTTTTAATTGGTTTCTTAGTTGTTTTACATGTTTTCTATTTTCATAAAAATTTCTTAGCACTTTTATTTGTATGTGTTTTGCATTCCGTGTATAAAACCAATATTTTATTGTTGCATATGTGTATACTCGTATGCATGTACATATGTACGCTTTGCAAGCATTCTCGATAAGTTGATTTATATTATTGGTGTTATTGCGGTTTATTAATTCACAATTTTAATTTTCAAATGCAAAAATACCTTTTGTGTTTAATCTGGTATCATTGGTTGTTTATTTTATTTTCATTATTTTCCTTACCGTTTGCATGTACATACATATGTAAGTTTTTGTTAGAATTGTTGCGTGTTGTTGGGTTGCTTACTATTACAAAAGACTTTCATCTTTTTTTTTAGGTAATAAATTGAAATCAAAATATTATTATGTAGTTACAGATTCGCAATCAAAAGAATGCTAAATGGAAAAATTGAAAATTCCACTGCAAGCATACGAAGAAGAAACTGAACTAGGAAGCTTTTGGAGAGGCGTTGCATGCGCTTTTCACCGATGTGTTTGCTTTTACATTAGTTGGGATACTCTGTGTTACATAAATAGTGTTGCGTAGCAAATGGGGACCTTTACTCTTAAATTAGGTTACATTAAAAAGTAAAGATATACAGTAAATTCTTATTACAAAATAAAGCAATTTTACATACATACATATTTCTAAAAAAAAAAAAAAAGAAAGTAACTTTAATGGTAAGTAAACTTATGAAATTCTATTGCAAAGCTTAAAATTAGGCTAATTTAAAAATTATGTTTTTGCATAAACGATGAAGAGGATCGATCATAAGTCAAGTTTTTTAAATTAAAACCGTGAGGCAGTAACAGAGAGGGGACAATGTAACATACAAGGTGAAATTTTGAAAATCAACTCTCATACCTAGAATTCAATTAAATATATCATGTTGTATTAATGTTCCAAACCAATTTCGTTTGAGTATATAAATAATTTTTTTTTTTTTTGAGAGCGAATTTCAAAATTTCACGGTAGATTGGTAGGACGGACTAATAAAGGAAAAGTGTATGAAGTTCAAAATGTGTGTTATAAACAGCCAAACTTTTTCAACCTGGCAGACAGCTGGAAGAGAGAGGAATAATAAGCTTATTGTACCCACGAAAAGCATAGCTATATAAAATAGCACTTTAAAGCAAAATATTACAAAAAGAAGGATCTTTTCTTTAAATATCCGATAAAATTTAATTAAAAGTATTGTAACACAAGAGATTTCAATTATTCAACAAGGAAATAAAAAATTAATACTAATAATAAATCGGAAACTGCATTAAAACGAAAATTACAAATTCACTGCGCTTTAAATTTCCATTATATCGAAATATGGCAATCATCTGAAAACTTTTTACTCAATTAAACGACGATGATAATTGTAAGAAAGATCAGAAAGAAAACAATAATTGACGAATTATAATGAAGTGCGCACATCCAATGGTCATAAAATGCGTTTAGTTTGTCGAACTACTAAATAAAGTAACGTCAATCGGAGAAGTATCCAAAGTTCTAGCCAGCTTATTTTGAGTCTGAGCCTATAACACACACATACATACATTTATTGAACTTACATGCATTGCTGCAATTGAGAAAATGGAAGATGCGAAATGATATATATCAGTCGGTGGTTGGAGGATGTGGAAAGACATAGCAATACTCCGTTGGGGATAATAAGAGTAGCGGTAAATGTGAGGAACATTATAGAACTACATATTTAAAAGCTTTACAAACTTAAAATGTATGCAAATTTTGCTGGTGTGTATTTTGTGGTTTTATACGTATATGGTCCATATATGATGTTGATATTCTCCTTGTTGTTAATGGCCCTTTAACACTTTCTTAGTGGTTGTTGTTGTTGAACTTAATGATGTATATTTAGTACAATGTTGTTGTTGTTTTGACATGGTGAATGAGTGGTGTATTTATTTTGTATGTATGTATGTGAAAGTATGCATGTGTATGAACTACTGCCATTTCGGTCACTATTTATGTGTATGTATGACGATTTGTGGCTTTATGTTTTTTGTTGTTGTTATTTTTATCTACTTATTTATGTTGTATTGTTTGTATATTTTGTTTGTTTGTTTGTGGTCTTTATGCGGCGATTAGCAGACGCTAAACTGTCCTGCTACTCCTACAACAGCTACATTACAGTTATGTTTGTTGTTGTCTGATTTGGCTATGAACTTTTTATTGCTACCGTCGATTAATCAGTCCATTAGGCGGGGCTTGTTGTCCCGCTGTATGCATCAGTTCCAATTCGACCAACAGTGGAAAATGATCCGAGGGTATATGTGGATGCGGACAGCCAACAACTTTATTCTCGCGCAACCATTCATTCGAAATGGGACCCAACAAACCGAGCGGCACCATACCTGTTTTCGTATAGAATATATAATCAATGATGCCCTTAAAGTCGAACGTGTAGTTTGTGTGCGGCATTATGTCTTCACTGTAGGCGGAGGCCAACTTGAAGGAATGCGTAAACTCGCTGGTGTCATTCGAGAGTAAGCGTTGCAGGCATAATTTATAGCCCATGTCCTTGAAATCCTGATGGTCCATTGCTACACGTCCCTTGCCGAGAAATTCGATAACACCGGAATCGGGTAAGGAATTAAAATCACCGCACAACAATAGTTGTACGCTATTAGAGTCATTCTTATGACCGGGCCTAAAGCTGTGGCTCGCCTCGTCGATTATAGTCTTAAGCTCATTGCTCAGCATCATCGTTTGGATGAGTTTGACATCGCAGAATTCGGGATCCCAATGAATGTGTGCAGTGCAAACAAGTAAGGGCTGGGAAATTTGTGTCACCTCGGTCATCGGATCCCAGGCATTCTCCTTGACTTTTAGCAATGCTGCCAAACCGATATTGTCTTTTGGCATTACACGGTTTAACATATTGTCCGAGCCCTCAGCGTTAGCCATTGCCAATTGATTGAATTCGATCAAATGTTCCTTAATCAATGTGAATCTGTAAGAGGTTAATGAGTCGAGAGAAATCAATGGATCAATATAGGATGATTCATAAATAAATTTATTATAAAGAAATTAACTTTTATGAGGATTTTATGAGTACCAATTTTAACAGGTTCTACTGATGAGGACCCTGTTCTACAGATATTTTATGTTTATATGCACTCACTTTGCAGCTCTAAAGAAAATAGCGCAGCCGTCCACAAATTTACGTTCCATCTCCGACATAGTCTTGGCACGGGATTTAGGCGAGAAAATACCCTCATAACCATCGGCCTTTAGCTCGGGCAGAAAGAAATTATAAAACTGCTCTGTTTCGATTTCTTGCAGACTAATTATATCCGCCGAATAATGACGGATTTCGTCAAGTATCGCCTTTTTTCTGTACTCCCAACTCAGGGCCCATGATGGACAGTATCCGTACATCTGTCGTGTAGCATATTTGTCGCATAAAACATTATAACACATAACTGTAAAGATGCCTACAACAAATAAACATAAAATATTAATTTGCTACATGTATTGTATCTTTGGACATAAGTACATATTTTTGTTTATGAGGACAAAAGTTATGTGACATGAGCTATGAAATATACAAAAGAGGAAACTTACATGCTGGCCTCGATTTGTTCGGTTTGGCTAATGGTATCCATGGACGTTGGGGCGGAGGGGTTACTGAAACTAAAATAAAAATTATTAATAACATTTTATTTCACGTTATATGCAAAGATAATGTGCGTATATGCATGTATATACAATATGAATGTGCCTATATAGGTCAGCCCACAGTCAATGTTTTGAGATTATGTAGAAGATTGCTACAATATATACTAAAACTATTCCCGAATTTTATATTCTATTTTTTACGGAAAGTCATTCTACAATTTTCTTTGAACAACTCCAAATATCGAGACTCTTTTGATTTAAAAATAAAGAAATGTTGTCGTTTATATCGGAATACAAGCCTGACATATGACCATCGATATGACTGACGAAGGTCTGGACTGGGAGTTGAATAAACTACGTGATAATTTTTTTAGAATATGAAATGTGTTTGTTTGCCTATTGTATGATGTTTTTTTTCCTTTTGATCCCCTTTAAGATCGTGAGAAAAGAATAAGCCTAAATATTTTCAATATACGTTTTGAAGCGATTTCGATTCTTCGGTGAAAAAGCGAAATTGTGTTCATATTCGTATCATAATAACAGTACTAATATAAAATATTGGTTTTGCAGAAACCAAGGAATTTTGGGCAGCCCCTTCTATAATAATAAACGTAGTTAGGATTAAGAATAAAAATGTAAAGTAACAACCGTCATTTCATGTATTATATAAAAAATTATTGAATTAAAATTTGAAATACATTTTTTATTTTATTTTGTAATCCCAAATACGGGATTAAAAACTAACAAAAATATGTTTAATCCCAAATACCGGATTATATTCCACTTTGATTTGTAAAATACAACTAATCTGTCTTCCAAAAAGGGAATTACCGTACAAGTGTGAGAAAAAAATACACCTACAGGTTCTAATATGTATGAATACTAGGCGACCACTTGCTACAAAGCTTATTAGATATGAAAATAATTGATAATTGCACATTTCACTTTCTTTGATATAATTAGGTAGCCCGGAATTGGAAAGGTGATACCTACGTGGATTCGCGTTACTTCCACTAGGCACGCAACGCTTTGCCCATTGAATGTATAATGAGTATATGCGATTGTATACATTGGTATGAATTAACAAATCTACGCTATTTCATTTGCCATTCTCGGCGCGATTTGCACGAAATCGTCGAGGGAATTAACTAAACCGTTGGCGTCGTAAACGCCACAACAAACATCTTAGATTGCACTGGATTTATTATTTTGTTTGTTGTTATGGGTGTATGATTAGCTGTATGTTGTATGTTTGTTGGTATTATGACGTTGGTGGTAGTCAATAAGCAATTGCAAGCGCGACGGTGAAAGTGACCCACAAATTACTTCCGTGTAATTAACAACAAGAATAATCAAACAAATACCAACGGTAGTGAAAAATTATATTCATATTATAAACGTGCGTACAATTTAATAACTGTGGATTTGATATACGCTTTACACTTTATGAAGTCCTACTAATTATAGTAACCGATTTTGTCAGCTTTTTCCAAAATAAAATTGCTATAGTATTTTGCTATTAAAGCCCTGATTCATTTAGGTCGACATACGACTCACCAAGAGATCTAAGATAAACCAGTAAGTAAGGGCTATTATAACCGAACATCGCAATTTTACAAGATCAAAGGCGGGGAAATACTCTCAGGTGTTGCAAAAGTTTATATTATATTAAAGTAGGGGAAGTATTGACCCAATTTCATTCATTTTAGACAAAAGGATACACTGTTATTAGAAAGATATTCTTTCCGAATTTCATCAAAATTTTTTTCGTATTGACAGATATAAAGTTAACCGGAAGTTCGAATATACTTGTATTTATATTAGATATATGGGGACTAGAGGATTAGACCCGATTTTATCTATTTTTGGTTAGTTATAGTCCGATTAAGACAATTTTTGGGCGTAGAATTAAATACCTTGAGGACACTATTTGTGCTAAGTTTTATTCTGATAACTTCATTGAGATTTGATTTGATACGATTAAGTGAAAAAAACCAAGTTCCTGAGGTATAGGATTTCACCGATAAGTGGACGGTGACACGTTAAATTTTTACAACTATTTCAAAGAAGCCCTTGCCTACTTGTAATGCATTTATTTAGTATGTTATCGCAATTTAGTGGTTTTCAACATAACCGTTATATGGGAGTGGGCGTGATTATTATCTGATTTTACTGGTTTTCACATTGTATGAAGAGGTGCTAAAAAGATTTTTTCTCAGCAAGTGTAGTTTTTTTAGCTTTAGCGATTTGGAAGATATGTACATTAAACCACTTAGAGGGCGCAGTCACGCCCACTTTTAAATTAATTTTATAAAATTTTTAACCCACAGGTGTCCCGGGCTACTGCGATCTCCCGCACCAAATTACAGTTTTGTATCTTAATTTAATACTTAGTTATGACACTTTATAGGATTTCGTTTAATGAAATTTTGTGGGCGTGGCAATGGTGAAATTAATGTTAATTTCTGGTATATTGAATAGAGATTGTTGTATTTATTGTATGCAATACAAATATTGCACTGTTTACTGTAAAAGATCACAAATGATCTTAAAGTAATGAAAAGATAAGAAATAATTATGTTACCACGTTGAAAACATTTATGATTAAGGTATGTGTATATAATGCCGTTATGTACAGCAGAATAGGAATAAGATATAGATATGTATTGTATAACACAACAAATTCTGTAAATAAACGAGCTCTGGGCAACCAGAGTTGAGTACTGTTTGTATTTCGATTAGTTTAGGTGATACAAACAACCGTTATATGAACAAAACTCTTATACTTTGTAGCAACATGTTGCGAGAGTATAAAACTAAGCTACGCAGCCAATTTTAAATTTTCGACGACTCTTCCAATATTCTCCATATTCCAAGAAAATTCTGAAATTATTTCCGTAGGTGCGTCCACTGTTAGTCGGGCAGAAAAGATCTGTGTGGAGCGCAGTCTGCACACAATCATCTTTAAATGCAGTCAGCACGTACTCATTACATGGACTACACCATAATTGCCTTCGATTAATAAAAAGCCATCATTATTACCATAAAAATACAGGCAATATGTTCAAATACCTGGAAACCCGACATATTATGTCATATTGTTTTACTTATAAGAACTTGAAAGGAATTATTTTTCTACCCGTCCCGCGATTTCATAGTTTATCTGATAAATTCAACTAGTACCTAAATTGTACAACCAGAAACAATTTATTAAAAATAAATCGATTAACTAACTTGACAGTTAAAATGTTTACACTTTGAAAAATACTTCAAACAGCTGTTTGGTAGTTTGCTTGCGAAATTGTCAGTTGCCAATATTGCCATCAATATTAATTCTTCAAAGTGGAAGAGTCTGCGGTCTATTAAATAAATTTTAGTAGTAAATGTGAGCAACAAATTGATAGCGCCAAACATTATTTATTTAATTAATTCAGCTTTATTTATTTACTAAATTACTTCAAATGGCTTGTCTTAATTGTTTTGTTGTCGTTATTGTTGCAGTTGCGGTTGATGAAGTTGTATTGCATGTAATTTACGCGAGGAAAGCGGTTATTGAAAGTCCCGAATTGAGGAAGCGGAAACAAGACACAGAAATATTTGGAAGTAGTAAATATTGTTTATTTTGCGTTTTTTACGTGTAAAAAGAAATCTTAATAGTTTTGTAATGGTACATGTTTGCTTTTATACATATTGAAGTCTCAAAAGAAGGGATTGGAATTAAATTTAAAAAATACAATGTAGTTGCTAAACACAACAAGATCTCAAGAATACTAATTTTTTGACACTTATTAACTATTATCATTGGTTTAAAATTAACCCAAAGATATTGATGGGATATAACACATTGTAGACAATCTCTTCCTTTCTATGTGAATATAAAAATTCAACAAAATCATATAACCTTTATTTATCAGTAATGGTAGCATCACTCGAAAAGCCAAAAATATTAAGCTATTACCAACTTTCATTACATGATTAAAATAAAAATTTGATTGAATTGAATGTTTCGTAACAACCACAAAACTCACTGTCTGTTTTGCGAAATCGATGAAGGTATGTAAGTATGTATGCATATAACATTTTTTATAAGCATGTAAAACTAAAATTTAATTACATCAATTTTCAGGGTTATTTAAAAGTCATTAAATTTTTTTTATAAAAACATAATTGAGCTCCAGCTTAAGTCAGAGCCATAGCTTACTAACTCTACCAAAGAAACAAAGACAAAAAGCAAAAGCAAAAATCAGCCGCTAAATCCGTTACAACTGGCCAATAAAAAGTTACTGGCAACAGTATAGATTAAATAAAACCCAAACACCAAATACAATAACAAAGGCAAAGATTGTGAATGCAAAAAAGACCGACAACAAAGGTAACAAAGAGGGAGCTAAAATTAACCGAATCATAAAATCGTAAAAAGTGAAAGTTCTCCCCGTTGCCCGGCACCAAGTAAACAGACACACGAGGAGTCAATTGTAAACAGAAACGCACTGTTGCGTGGCGTCATCTTGGAACAAATAAACACAACAAAAGAAAAAAAGAGTTAAACCCGTAAAGAAAATAAAAATGAAACTTAAGACCGCCCAATGATTCTCTTAAATATTTCAGCATAAGATAAATGGTTGTTTCTTAGTCTTTGCTTTAGATTCGAATTCTTTTTCTCAATTTTTATACCCTGAACAGGATGTAATAAGTTTGCCACGAAGTTTGCAACACCCAGAATCAAACGTCAGAGATCCTATAATATTATATATGTATATGTATATGTGTATGGCAGTGTGACTAGCTGAATCGATTTAGCCGTTTGTCCGTCTGTATTCTTTAGATAGTGGAAAGATCTCCAATAAATTATAAACATGGAGTCACTACATTTTGGATGAGCCAAATGTCATCAATCTTGATGGTATTATAAAATTTAGGTTAATATATAAATGGATTTTTCGGATATATATACGCATATAAATATATAATATATGATTTTAAAATTTACCCAATCACTCAACAGAAGCGCCACGTATTCAAATATTGGAAAGACAACAACAAAACAAAGCAAATAGTAGAGTAACTGGATCGTCACGATATTGACAAATCACACTTGCACCTTAGTTTCCCAGCTAGCTTTGTACTTAGCGCCAAAAAAAAAAGTTTCTAAGTGGCTTTTTCCACACACAAAACTTCAAAGAGGAGGTTAAAAGTTCGATACTTATTCATTTAAGTTACTTTTGTTTTTAATAAAAAAAGGCTTATTTATTTGCATATACCGAATGCATCTTTGGCAAATATTATATATAGTAGTAGTTTCAGAGATATGAGCGTATTTGCAAAAAAAATTTAACTTAGTGTAATCATCTTAGATAGATTTGTCGGTAATGATAGAAGGAATAAGATAATGTAATTTTCAAACATAAACCGACTTTTTTTGGAAGCCGCCATTTGGTCAAAAATCAAATATTTGACTAGTCCTTTGATCACATTACTTATACCTATAGTAATAATAATGTGAAACATAGAAACTAAAATCGTTCCTATAGCCAAACTAAAGTTTATTACTCGGATAAGCCCACCCTAATCTTTTTTTATTTGTATACTCTTGGAACATGTTGCTACAGAATATAATAGCATTGATACGGGGTTTTATAATATATATACATAAATGAATAGGCTGACGAGACGAATTGAAATCCGGGTGTCTGTCTGTCCGTCCATCCGTGCAAGCGATAACTTCAGTAAAAATTGAGATATTATTATGAAGCTACACATGTTATTGACGGGCGTATTTTTCAAATAACGGTGCATTTTTGGCACAAAAATCTGATGAAGACTTTGGTTTACGTTTTCTTCATAGACCCCAAATATTAAATTTAGCTTTTATTCAATTTATATCTAATATATCTTTGAATTTGAGTTAATTAGGTTCAACTTAATATTAATATTTTGAAAAAGCAAAATGTAGTAATTAAACTAAGTGAGCCAATGACCTATAATATAAATTAATAAACTATCAAATTTGACTGGAGTCCATTTACGATTTCGTCAAATAATAAATATTGAATTCTTTCGCCACATTTTTTAAAATAAAATTTTGGCAACAACTGAATGTATATTTTGACGCCTTTGATGCTTAGAAGTTGCAAGAGTATGAAATGTTCGTTTACACCCGAACTTAGCTCTTCACTACTTGTTAATATATACATAACTAAATTCTTTTGTTAAAAAGGGTTTTTGATTTTACTGTATTAGCTGGTACAACAAAGCGATTACACTTGTTTCTATAGTATATTCACGTAAGCACGCACTCTCATAAACAAAACGCTGACAAAGCAAACGAAAATTTAAATGTTTACGTATGGATGAGCATACACAACGACGCATTCAACAGCCTGTAAAGGCAAAATCAGCTGACGAGTAGTTGGTGTGGATCTTCTAGTACATTTGTATGGTTTTCGTGTGTTTGTTTTATTTCAGCCACTTCAATTTCCACATCGTTAACTCCTGCTGCTCCATTGAGTTTTCAATCGGATGTGTTGTTGCATTGCGTCGGACACCGGTTGATCGAAAAAGAAAGTGAATTTACTGCTTCACTGACCTTTTTTTTATATCGCACAGATGTTGAAAGACTTGTTAGCTTGACATTAGGGTAGTTCCAGAAGCGCTCAGAAGTTATTCGCTGAAACTAATAACTGCTGTTATTGCTTTGGTATTCAACTATATTTTCAGTAGCGCAGATTAGGAATTTGTAAGTGTTTTTTCCAAATCTTTTAGCTCCTTATTAAACGACGGCAAATGTCGGGATGGCCTGTCCACTATGCCACATCCCAAATAATTAACTAATAAAACGTTTTCAAATAAATAACTGCATATTATTTCTACTTTTGCGCATCATGTCCGTGGCATTGTCGTGACGTGTTGTTACTTTTAACAAGTAAGTCCGCCACCGATTGCATGCAACACAACTACTTTATCAGTGCAGGGGTGTAGGGATTCAAACTCGTTAGCTACTGTTGTTGCTATTGCACTGCTCTGCTACTATAAATAAAACCAGTTTTACTGCATTTTTATGCACACATTTTCATTACACTCGAAACCGTTCGCTGCCAAAAGTCGAGCCATAGCGTGCAGCACTTGGCGGAGTCATAACGACATAAATATGTGTGTATGTGTGTGCGTATGCGTGTAATAGCGGTGGCAACAACAAAAACGTCATTGCACCGGTTTTACTGGCAAGCAGAGAGATTGTTTGTCGGGCGATGCTCGAACATTTGTGGGCAAAGATTGAAAACTGCATTACATCGACAATGCTATCACCAGCATCGTTGACAGCGCTATCAACATCAGCTATGCATATCAACTATTGCGCCAAGAGTGAAGCTCGCAAAATAAGCAATACTCTGAATGTTCAATAAGCTGCACATAAATTTAATTAAAAAAATTATTCAAAACAATCGGTGCTAGGAAAAATCTATTAATTACCGTGGCTGATTGAGGGGACAACTACACGCGCTCAATACGTGCTTTAATTTTTAAATATCGAAAAATAAAATTTACTTGCATCTTCATCACTCCTAATTATGGGAGCTATTTTAGTTTTAAATAATTAGAATTTTGAAAAATATACAATTAATTTTCTTACAGGGTCTAGACAGCGAGTTTATACATACCAGACATATTAAAATAGTAGTGCAGTATTAACACACTTGCATTGCGTCGAGTGGTTAATTTTGTTATTTACGAGTAAATCGTTTTTTTTTTATAAACACATATTTTGCTGATTTGGTTTACAATTTTTATTGATCGGCAATTAAAGTGACCAGCAAACGGGTTTTGTGTTGCTTCTGCATATGTTATGCATAAATCTAAATAACATACATGCATGCATACACAAACATAGGTGATAGCATTGCCGTTGACAGCGCGCATGCGCATGCGCTGTCACCCAGACAGTCGACTAGTCAGCCCGTAAGCACACAATATGCTGCAGAGCAACATTTCCGCCACTATGGCCGTACGGTCACATATACATTGCTACCGCCCCCACGTCCATCGCCATCATAATCTCACTCAGAGTCGCATTGCGCAGGTGTTGTAATCTTCAGTTCGCTGGTTGATTTTATTGCCTGCTTTATAGTTTTTCTCCGACTGCTATGTTGCCAAACAAAGTAGGAAAGCTGAATTCACACACTGCATACGAGTGCATACGTAGACACCATACTTTTTGTGTTGCTTTTCGTTTGTGAAGCTTTTTGATTTTTTTTCATCCTCTTATTGCCATGATTGTCGTAGGCGACACTTTCGGATGATCCACTTTTAAGTACTTTCACTAAGTCACTACTCGTTTCGGTGGTGGCTCGGTGAATTGGTGTCGTTC